GGCTTTGCTGGCACTGTCTGCTGTGAAGTCATAGTTGAGGAGGCAACTGAGAAGCGATAACCCCTCACCGCAGCTGGACTCTATGTGACGCAGCTATCCTGCCAGGCTTGTGGCGGAACTGATGGACTGAACAACTGCCCGTGTTGGCCATCAGGCGAGAACTCTCTGACGGCTTCTCCTGACGCCAGTTCTCAGTTTACCATGAGATTCAGCCTCCGACTTCGGAGTACTGATCCTAAAAGCTGTGGAAGCTTCTGTTGTTGCTTTGTTTGCTTGATGACCTCGGCTGCGGAGGCCGTGGGCTCTACCCTGTGAGTCTTGGGAACCTTCGGCCATCACTTTGAGTGAACTTGTAGTTGCATGAGTAGACAAGTTGATGGCAGCATTGCTGGATGCTGAGCATCAGTATTGACTTTCGGCACCAAGCCTTTTCGCGAACGCTCGAAAGACTGCAGTCTCGTCAAGGAATCGCTGCTGTGTCAAACTGGGGATTGACGAGTGCTCTGGAGATGCACACTGTCCGGCTCCTTGGATCAACACAGGTTACCCTCCGTTGTATCAGTGTTGGCTTCGGTTGTCCCGATGATCGCACGATGCGTCACGTGGTTCTCAAGTCACGACGGGCTCTCTTCGGCATGTCCTCGCCTGTAGACGACATGAAAAGACGCCTAATTCGCCCTGCATTGGTAATCGCATCGGCTGGCAACAGGCATCCCACTCCTGCAACTCCGGCTTGACTCGTCCGAAGCGTCGTTTTCTTGAACGGTTCCCTCACTTTGATTGTTGGGCAGTGCGGAGCGTGGTCGTAAAGTGTTATCGTTTTGACAGATAGCCGGGATTCGCCAACAGGGTGGCAGGGTTGCGGAGGCTCAACATTTGCAAAATTTCGGAGTCGACAGTTTAGTTTCTGGCAGCTGTTGGACACAAGCACTTGGCTGCAAGGTTGGCTATCCCTACTTCCACGGTGCTGAGACTCTTGGCCAACAACCGTATGACTGTCTTTTCCAGTGCACCCTGTGCCCACGTCTTGCTGCAGACCTCAGTGTTTTCCAACTTGTCAGGTACTTGCCGTTCGACTCTCTGCTGCTCCCGGGCTCCAAAGATTCTCTAGAGTCAGCGGAGGCTACGATGATACGAGAAGCCAACGAATAAGCAACTGATGTCACACAGGTCAGAGTATGTATGGGCTGCAGCTGCGCGAGTTGTAGTGCAAAGGCACCATGTGCGAGATGCACGAGGTCGCTTCTGTGGAGTCTGTTGCTGCGATCTGCCAAGGACATCGCTGGATGCAGTTGTACATTTTCTCCGGCACGACTTCGCCAACTTTTTCCATTACAATGACATGATCGATGTCCACCCACCAGGAAGCAGCTGGTTGTTTCAGATTGTCGTTGGGGAGTGCAATCCATCAGCGGACAAGAGAGCGCACCGGCACCGAAGCCAGGACTTCCCAAGATCATCTTTCACAACTACCGGTCCTGGATGCACACGCATCTTGATGCAATCAGGCATGTCCCACTTTAGCTGTCGGGTTACCGGCACCGAGAGCTCCACATCCACCCTGGATGTTTTTGCCGACCTGCTGTTGCACCACAGGTTTCCTCACCATCATCCGCAGTCGGACCAAGCCAAGCTGGATCGACGGATTCGACGGTTCAGGAGCAGCCGTCCTGTTGTCCATGCAGCTTTCCCACTTCTGGCTGCGTGCCATGGTGTGGGATGTGTGGGCCGTCGGATGGCGGGTTTCGTTGAAGCAAAGTTGGCAGGGTCCTCTGCCGCCACAGCCGCGACGTGCGCGGTTCCCGTCCTTTGCTGTTCGTGCGCTACGTCGGTGACTCGCCCACTGAGTTGCTGAGGATTCTCGCCTGCATCGGCAGTCGTCCAACTTCTGCTTCCGCCAGACATGATTGTTTCAACCCCTCCAGGCTGGAAGAGCTCTACAGCATCCTTCGACTTTGGGGTGGTTCGCGAGCCAGGTTTCGTGATCTGCAGATCGCAATAAGGATAAGGTAAGTTGAGCCTAGCGGCACTTAGCAACTTGGTGGCCCTGGTCCAGGCTTTGTTTCGTGGCCATGCTCCAAGCTCGTCAGCCTCCTCAGCCTCACCTGCCTCCGCCAGGTTTGATAGGAAGGCCGAGTCAGCGACAGGGGCTATCTCACCTTTGCCTCAGCACCTTGTGGCGAGAGGTCTGCTTCTACTTCGGGTATATCTGCAAAAAGCATCAAAGGCACGCGGAAGCTCAGGGTTCGTCGCAGCGCCAGCAGCTACAGCTGCATCGTTGAGTTTTCGCGGTGCAGCGGCGATCAGCGGTGCTGGCTTGCATGCACCCATTCCGAGTATTCCGGAAGATGACATGGTAGATTGCGCTATGAACTGTCCGGCTTTGGTAGGTGGCCGGCTCTTCCGCCACGATGTCTACCCGAAGGTGGTGCAAGAGACATTTACTTGTTCTCAGTACCGATTCGACGTTGCGGTAGGGCCAGCGGAGAATATGGGATAAACCTAGTGAGACACCGGCCTTGTCGATGCTGCAGGTTTTGTTCTGGCTTGTCGACGGCCTTGTCAACGTCATGGATTTTGGACCGATCCGGCAGGCATGTTGCAGTGGTCGGACGTCGGAGCTTGCCGTGCGCAGCATGCCTTGTCATACCAAACAAATCACGGCGTGCAAATGGCACCAGTGAATGCGGCGCAGTTCATTCAGGCTCTTCGGTTCAATGTTTACGATGAAGCAGGTCTCCTGTATGACGTGCCCAGCCACTTGTCTTGCAGCAGATGCCCAGGAGCAAGCTTTAACAAAGAACTATTCTAACAGGATCAACCCGAGGAGCATTTCCTGGAACAGGGGACAAAGAGAATTGGTCGAATGTGGTCGCACTCCCTGTTCCAAGGCATTTCCACTTCCGAACTCCTGGCGACACTGCTCCCATTCAAGGAGCGAGTACTGGGCACAGGCTGATACTGCTTGTTCAGATCGCAGGCAGGAAGCCAGGAAGCTAATCAAACGAATCAGGTTCTTGTGGCTTTTGATGAAGCTGCACTTCTCTTTTTTGGGCAGACTTGTCGGCCTTAGCCTGGGTGAGTCTGCACCGAGCAGCTCACGAGAGCCATGCAGGATCCTTACACCAACAAGAGCGAGAACTGCGACCGAACTTGGTTGGAGCGGCCTCCTGCCAAAGAGACGCTTGGTATGGCGATAACATGCCAGCAATGCGCATGCATCGGAAGTGCGTAGATTGCAGTTTCGCGCCGAAGTGCTGAGGCGCGAGATTGCTTTGGGCTTCTTTCCTGACTGCCCAAGGTGGGGATGTGTCCTCCAAAGTGAGATACTTCATTCACACGAAGCAGTCTCCGATCCCTGGTCTTGCAGGGCTCAGCAGCCAAACCAGGGCTGCCAGGCCAACAGCCTCCTGCGCTCGGCTGTGCGTGCCGGCGACGTCGTGCCCCGCGCCTAGAGGGACGGAGGTCGTGAAAGGAGAGTGGAGGTTTGTCCTCCCATAGACAGTCCGGCAGATGCACGCAGATGTTGCAACTGTCTGCCCCCGATAGTGTTCGTGTATCTACCCCGCCCAGATCTGAGGCGAGTCCGAGAGTTGCTTCGTGACAGCACGCCGGCAGATGCGAACTCCTGGGAAGCTCGAAGCAGAAAAACGAAGTACGCTTTTCCAGAAATTCTTTTTCCTGCGCTTAAGGATGACTTCGGCCGGCGGCCACTGCACGATCTGTGCGAGACTGCTGCGACAGGTGGAACTGGGCCGTGAAGCCCGAAAGTGTAGCCGGGAAGAGCGCTTGTTGTTGTTGTTGCTGGTTGTTGTTGCTGTTGCTGTTGCTGTTCCTGCTGCTGCTCTCTTACTCCAGGCCGGGGCCAATTGAGCACACTCCGCCTTGCTGCTGAGCTCATGTTGGCACACGGCGATCCTCGTGCCCAAGCAGCTCGGACTGAACAGAGAGGCCGCAGGCTGCAGGCAGTTGCCGGCTGCAAGCCGCTGCAAGCTGCAACCGAGGACAAGGCTGGCAAAGCTGCCCTTGACCTGGCAAGGAGCTCCAAGGCTGAGCTAGGCTCGCTTGAGTCGACGACCTCCTTGGCGCGGAAGCCCTTCCTGCGAGAGCTGACGGCACTGCTGGCAGCATGCTCTTTGCAAGGTGTCACTGAGGATGGATTTGCAGACCCCGCTGGACTGTTCCGTGCCTTGGAGTATCTCGGCGAGCCACTGCGCAGCCAGATCGCCCTAGGAGTTCTTGGACTGGCCGCGCTCCGACCCATTGGCCCTGCAGAGATGAAGTGGCGCAATCCCGGTCCTGGCTTGGAAGAGCAGCTGGCTGCTCTTGATGACGAGCTGGCAGCTGTGAAGCGTTTGAAGGAAACTTCGCAGAGACGCCGGGCTCTCAGGCGCTTGCTCTTCGAATGGCACCCTGACAAAAACGGCCATCGACATGAGCTTGCCAAAGCTGCTTTCCAACATATTCAAATGCAGAAAGCCGATATCTTGGAAAAGGGACAGGCAAAGAAAGGCTAGAGGAGGTTGCGCTCGCGACCACCAATCGTGCTGGAACACCCTCATGATCCGTCAAGCAGCTGAACCTTGATCTTGAAGGGATCGGCGCTGGCCCGGCAAGACCAAAGGCTACATCATCAGCATTGACGAGCTGTCGAAATGATTGCAGGCCACTCTCCCACATGCACCTCTTGGACTACTGTGTCTCAGGAACCGACCGAGTTTTCGATGAGATTGCAAGGCTTCGGCTTTGCCGTCTGCGTTGCACCATGGGAGCGGCAAAAAAGCCAGGATGCCGAGCGAGCACGGGTTTGTCTGATGTGTTGTTAGCTTTCAAGTCGAAGGCTCCGTTGTACCGAGTGCGTGTCATGTCCGTGAGACTGGTTGCGCCGCTGTATGTATGTATGTATGTATGTATGTATGTATGTATGTATGTATATATATATATATATACATACACGCCGAGCCATGGTTTAAAAGTGTTTGGACTGTGACTTGATGCAGGACATGGTGCGCTTGTTGCGCGGTGCGCAAGCGCCTGTGATTGGTGCCTTTTGGCTGGCATTTGGGCACACCGCATTACACTGATTCGAGGTGTCGTGACGTGTCGTGGCTGCAAGCGCATGCTTGCCATGGAGTTCAGGTCGACATGTGTGGCGAGCTCATCGAGTGGAACGACAAGGCCAGCCCTTCCGCTGTACATGTTAAAACAGACAAAAGCTGTTGCGCAGTGCAGAACTATCTCAGCATGAGTTCTGAGGCGTCCGAGTCTAATGCTGAACAGGTTGCAGCAATCACAGGCTTCTCCCGCCAGGAGGTACGACCGAGACGATGCATGCTGTGAGTGCTGGTCAACTATCAATTCGATGTACCTAATCTATTTTAGACCCATGCAGGTCTTGGGCCGACCTTTCCTGCAAGACTTTGTTGTCGAGGGAGTTGAGGCCGCGGCCGCCAGCTCCAGAAGTCTGCCGACCCTTCCTGCGCAGTGCCTCGAGAGCCTCCGCCTAGTGCCAGCATCACACTGGCCCTTGACAGTCGCTGAGAGCCCAGTCATCAATCCTTCAGCGCTTTTGAGTGTTGGCGCCAGGTTTTCGAGGCCGCAGTGGCCGCAGCCATTCGTCACGGCCAAGAGGCACCTGGTCTGAATCCGTGCATAACGCCAGCTTCGGGGCGGCAGGCAGGTGATGAAGTTTCGATCGTTGCCAGGACTTGGGTGAGTTTGAACTCATGCTCCGGACGAAAAGTGACGGGAAGGCAATGCATGCAACATCACGGACCCGGTTGCAGCTCATGGTCGTTGTGCGTCAACCACAATTTCGTTGCGGCCTGTGATTGTCCTCTGGTGCATAGCGTCCTGCAGAGGCTATTCTGAGAATGAGCGGCGCCACTTTTCGGGACACCCAGGGTGAAGTTGGAGGTGGGCACACGCACAGCCCGGCACTGTCTGAAGTGGACCGCTGCTCCGACATGTTTCCTAACAACGAAAGGTGTGGTGGCCTGTGGGCAGGATCTGACCAGCATCAGGCAAGATGCCCAGGAAAGATAGCATGCCTTTAGATTTCGTTCAAAACCTGCCGACCAGTCAAACCCCAAAGAAAAGAAGGTGGGACGCCCTGGTGGCCAGTGTTCGGTGCTTTGCCTGCTAGTCCCCACCTGTTCTCGCTAAATCTGGCGCAGTGCTTGATAACACCGTTCCATGTGTTGAACCATGGCGCCTGAAAGCCATCACCCTGTATTTATGTCTGTCTGTCTGTATGTATGTATGTATGTATGTATGCATGTATGTACGCACGCACATTGGCATAGGTACAGATGAGCAACGCATGCCACTTGATTGTAGGTTCAAGCCGAGCTCTGTATCGACTGCTGCCTTGTGAACAAAAAAGCCGAGCTCTGTTGGCCGATACAGTCTGTGTGCCCTGTGTGAATCCTGAGCTTGACCAGTCAAGGAACAGCATGCAAGAGGCGACACGGACAGCAGCGGATCTGCAAAGGCGGACTGCAGCGACGAGTGTGGATGCTGCAGTCTATCTTCGACAGCCCTTGACAGGCTCATTGAGACTGCACATGCCTGCATCGTGGGCATAGATCCTGCCGGTAACGTCAACGAATGGAACCATCACATTGTGTGTGCCTCAGGGGCAGGTCGAACAGGGTCCTTCTGGGCTATAGTCTATAGTTCTTCTGCAAGATGTAGGCAAGCTGGGTTGCTGCTTGCTGTTTACTCCAAGTACTAGTCTTGGCCTTCATCACCGGCGGCATGTCCTGTCGATTAAATCATCCAAACAACAGAGGGGAGGCCGCACGTCCAACTCCTGTCATCGAGCCTGGGAAAGGTTGGACGGAAACAACGCGACAAGACTCAGCCGGCAGACCGGCCTCATCCTGCAGAGGGGAGCCCGCATCTGTCTACTGAGTTATCGGGCAGGTTTAGCAGGCAAAAGGACCTAAGGACTTCGGTTGGATAAAAAAGGTGATGCAATAGAATTGAAACCCTGATCTGGCCGGCCTCAGCTCTTGCTCATGTCTGTGCAGGTGTGCGCCAACTACAGTAGCAGACCTGCCTGTCGCGTGTCCTCCAGATCGATGCGCTATCAACTCCTTGGTGTTAATGGGGCAGCTGAGCCAACCACCCAGGCGCTTATGTCATGGTATCGTGTATCACTGGGGGCGCGCAGTGTGATCGCAAACACGGTTTCCGGCCTGACAGAAAACACGGATGAAGAGGGGATTGCTGTGTGTGTGTGGGCAACCCAAAATACCACGGGAATTTCAGCAGC